ATGTCCTCACGGGTTTGTCCTGTTATCTCGTGCTCATCTCTTATTTTCACCTTTTTATCCATGAGCAGATCTGAGCTTAAATGAGTCCCCAGGAGCAGAGAGCCACCCTACTCCTCTCTGAAATGCGCAGTGTCTATTTTTTATTATCTGTCCTGATTTCACTTGCTTGGCTTATGCACTAACTTGGCAGAGTCCCTCTGCCCTGATAATTCCAGAGTTTCCTTTCTGGTCATAGCTGGGCCGAGAGCACCGTCCCTCCCTGCTCTTCTGAGTCTGCAGTGATCAGCTGGGCAACATTGAGACCATTTCTCGGGCTCTGCTCCGAATGCAATTAGGGTTTTGGCAGATGTCCAGTAAACAAGCTCCTGCTAAAAATGCAAATGCTTCTCTTAAGGGTCAGTGCCATTTGAAACCAGATAAATACCTGGATAGCTATCTAAGTGGTGGAGGGTGGGGGTGTCTGCTCTGGTCCCTGGGCCCCACAGCTTTCCAGGCCAAATGTTCAGGCACGTGAAAGGCTGAGTCATCTTGACATCTGTCCTGTTGAAAATGTGCAGTGTTAGTGAAAGGTGCCTGTTTCACTTTGAATAAGAAGAATGTGTTATATTTCCAGCCAAGCAAAACTGAGTGTTATCTTTAGTTCTTTATAAACTTTGGATTAATATAAGGGTACTTATGATTGGGTTATACTGTGTGTGTTTGTTAGGTAACATCCAAGTTGTTAGTCCTTCACCCAGGAGGGGAGCCCTAGACCCCACATTGTGTCCATTAGGTGGGAGTTTACCGAGCTACCTCCCCTTCCCCCCACCATCTTGGGGGCAGTGGCAGTGAGGAAAATGTCACCAGGGTGTCCTTGCACCATGTGGGACTATAGCTGTTCATCTGCTAGTTTCAAATTATTGAGAACACGAAATCCTTGCTTTTCTGTTCGTGGACACTCTACTGAGGAGAATGCTCCAGCTCCATCCAGGTAAATACAAAAGATGTAAAGTCTCCGTCTTTATATGGCTGAATAATATTCCATGGTACATATGTACAGAGTTTAGTAGTCCATCCATGGGTTGATGGGCACTTAGATTGATTCCACATCTTGGAAATTGTGAATTGAGCTGCAGCAAACATTCAAGTGCAAATGTCCTAATGGTAAAATGATGTTCTTTTGCGTAGGTACTTAGTAATGGGATTGAGGGATCAAATGGAGGGTCTACTTTTAGCTCTTGGAGGATTGTCCATACTCTTTCCATAGAGGGTGTATTAGTTTGCAGTCCCACCAGCAGTGTAAAAGTGTTCCCTTCTCTCCATATCCACATCGGCATTGGGACTTTGTGACATGGCTAGTCTCACTGGTGCTAGGTGGCATCTCACAGTGGCTTTGATTTGCATTTCTCTGATGATTAGGGATGATGAGCATTTTCCCATGTGTCTGTTGGCCATTTGTCTGTCTTCTTGGGAGAAAATTTTGTTCACATCTCCCTTCTCCATCTCTCTCCCACCTGCTTTCAAAGTGGTGCTTTTGAAACAGGAAAATTAGAGTGTAATAAGACTTCGGAAAGAGAGCTAGCACAAATTGGAAAACCTCAGAAAAAGAGTGGAAGAAAACATGGTATCGGGGCTCTTATCTTGGGTGCTGTGAGCGTGGGGCTGCTGCATGGCCAGAGTGGGATTCCCTCCTTGTGTTACAAAAAGAGACACAAGAAACTTCAGGCAAATACATTTTCCCTGGAATTAGATTTTAAGAAATGTATTGAACATGGTCTTGCACGTGGGACCACTGTGTGATGCACCAAGAAGGAGACCAGACTTTCACTGGGCTGGTTTGGGTTGGTGCTTAAGAAAAGGCAGAAACAACTCCACCGCAGCTGGGTGTGGATCTGCCTCATTTTCATGGACATTTCATGCAGCTGCTCATTTTATGGAACTGATCAAAGAGGGGCTGCTCTAAAAATGCAAAGGCGAGATGCCTGTGTCTCCTCCTGAGAGCTCCCTCTCCTCCAGAGAAAGAATGTTTGAAATCAGTGGCAGAAAGGAAATGCAATCAGGGTGTGCCTACACCATGCACGTCCCGTGTGAAAGAAGGGCCTTTTGGTAAATTAGTTCTGAAAACAGTTAACTTTCTTTCTTAAAGATTCAAAATGCACATTGACAGACTAGAGTATTTTAGCCAGCTTTGATGATTAATTTTGCATGCAACAGGCTAGGCCTCAGTACTCAGATCTTTGGTCAAATATTATTCTAAACATCCCTGTAAAAGTTTATTTATTTATTTATTTTTTTAAAGACAGAGTCTCATTTTGTCACCCTGGGTAGAGTGCTGTGGCATCACAGCTCACAGCAACCTCCAACTCCTGGGCTTAGGTGATTCTCTTCCCTCAGCCTCCCAAGTAGCTGAGACTGCAGGCACCCACCACAATGCCTAGCTATTTTTTTAGACGAGATTAATAGTTAAATTGGTGGACTTTAAGTAAAGCAGATGGTCCCCCATAATGTGAGTGGGCCCTATTCAATTAGTTGAAGGCCTTGAGAGAAAAAAAACACTGACATTCCCCAAGGAAAGGTAATCCTGCCTTTAGATGGGTTCAAACTCAGGCTGCAATGTCAGCTCCTCACTGGATCTCCGGCCTGATGACCACCGTGCAGATTTGTGGCTTGCCAATCCCATAATGGCCTGAGCCAATCCCTTAAAATAAACCTGTCTGTGAATGTGTGTCTAAGTCACATGTCATTAACAATAGGGCTATGTTCTGAGAGGTGATTATTGGGTTATTTTGTTTGCTCCTCACAGAGCACAGCACTCACACAATCCTGGATGGGGCAGCCTGCTGCACCCCTGGTCCATCGGGTGGCGCCCTGCTCCTGGGCCGTGCACCTGCACAGCTTGTTACTGCACTGGGTTCTGCGGGCAGTTGTAACACAGCGTCAGTGTTTGTGGATCTAGATGTATGAAAGGTAAATTACTCTGTGGAAGGTAGGAAATGGTGCACCTGTCAAGGCGCTTACTGTGAATGGAGCTTGCAGGGCAGGAAGTTGCTGGGTGAGTGGTGAGTCGGAAGGCCCGGGACATTCTGTGCTCTGTGCAGACTTTATGCATGCTGTCCACTTAGGCTGTGCTAACTTTATCTTTCCCTCCTTCCATGATAAATTAACTTCCGCTTACTGTACCTTTTTTACTTTATCAACTTTTAATTTTTTAAAACTTTTAAACTCTTTTGTAAAAACACTTAAAATTCAAAACAACTATACAGACATATTTTCTTTCTTTATAGCCTTATTCTATATACTTTCTTCTATTTTAAAATTTTTTTACTTTTTAAAACATCCTTACATGTTTTTTGTTAAAAACTTGGATACAAGTGCACATGTTAGCCTAACTCTACACAGGGAAGGACTGTCAACATCGCTGCCTTCCGCCTCCACTGAAGGGCTGCAGGGGCAGGAACAGCCTGGAGCTGGCATTTTCTATAGTGACCCCTTCTTCTGCAAGACTCCTGGAGGACCTGCTGGAGGCTTTTTTATAGTTAACTTTTGGAAATATAGGTAGAAGGGGGACAGTCTAAAATAATGGTAAAAGTATAGGACAGTAAATACATGTGCTAGCAACTGCCATTTATTGTCACTGTCACATGGGAAGTATGGTGCATAACTGTGTGTGCTGGGGGGTCTCACTGCTGGCCGGGCAGCAGACACACCAGTCATGGATTTGGTTACAAACTTATGACAGCTCCCTTGTCACTAGGGGACAGGATTTCTTCCGTTTGATATAAGTGTATGGAATCACCATTATGTGTGTGGTTTGTCCTCGTATACTGCATGTTAAAGTTTGAGTCAGCCAAGGACCAAATATACAAGGGTGCTCTCATAAACTGATTGGACTGTATTTTTACTGTACATTTTCTCTGTTTAGATGTGTTTAGATACGCAAATGCTTACCATGTTCTACAGCTGCCTGTGACATCAGTACAGTGACACACCTGCAGGTCATGCCACATAGCCCAGCTGTGAGGTCGGCTGTCCCACCCGGGTCTGTGTGTGAACCGTCCACCTGGTGTATGTTCAGCGGGACACGTAGCTGAGTGATGCATGGCTGTCTTTACACACACACACACACACACACACACACACACACACTAGTGGTTCTCTTTTCTGGAGCACCCTGACTAACACACCATTCTATCTCAATATTTTTTTTTTTTTTTGGCATTTTTTGGTGTATGAAATCATCTGGTGGCTTCTCCCTGCCCCCAGCGCTCTAGTAAGTACACAGTTGCTCCTGTTCGTAAGGGTTTGTGGTCTCAGGCCTCAGCCGGCCTGCAGTTTCACGGTGGTCATACCTATCGAGGGTATAAACATGGACTGGGAAGTATGGTTTTTGTTTTATTTTGCTTTGCATTTTGATATTTTACAAAGGTCATTAACTGAAAGTCACACTGAGTGAAGAGGCACCTCGGAGTCTTTGACTGTGGTCAGCAATGCCAATAAACTAGACAGTGATACAAACTGGCCCTAGTGCCTCCTGAGTTTACTTTTTCTTTGAAAATAAATAACAATTCGGTAATGCTTTTTTCAATCTGGAAATTGAGGAGGCAAAATATATCAATTCTACGCTGACACCAGTGAAAAGTGGAAGCTGATAAACTGAAAGCAAAGGGTGAGGCAAGGGAGACCCAGGAGTAACTAGGAGGACGTGTCAGGAGCGAGGTGGGTGGGTGAGCATCTGGGGTGAGCCCTGCAGACGGCAGAGGAACACGGGATTTTGGAACAATGCTCTCAATCTCCCAAACAAGGGCAGGTTGCATGGAAGTCAGAGAATGATGTGCACATTTCACAGCCATTTCCACTCAAAGCATTGAAAATAGAACCACGGTCTGGCTCCATGCACGCTCTGGTCAGTCTCCAGCGGGCTGGGAAACCTGCTGTCTAGTGACTCCCAGTGAGGAAGCTCTGGGTCTGAAGCCCAGGAGACTCTGAGTTCTCTCACTTCTAGTCTCTGCCCTTTGAAACAGGTCCTGTCTAGTGCCCTCACCATTGCTCTGTCTGGAAGGTGTGATCCAGAAATCCTTCAACTCCTGCTGACATTTCCTAAGGATGAAACATCTTGGTTTGCAGTGAAGGAACTCTGTGGTCTGCCAGGGTCCAAAGTGCTTCCTCTGATTGTGCTGATGAGCCGAAACCTGAATGTGCGGACTTTCATTTACAAGGTACAGAGGGTCGTAGGTGGGGCTGCCTGACTTTCTGCAGAGCAGAGGCCATGGCGTCTTTGTGAGGAGGACAGCAGGACAGCAGGAGACTGTGCCCTGTGCCACTGTGCAGCAGCCTCAGTCTGGCCCCGATGTCTCCTATTTGCTGACCTTGGGGTGGAACTCAGGGAGGCTTTGCTAGAATAAAGGGGTGTTCAGAGACGTTCAGAAGGCTGTTGGAGGTAGCCCCACTGGGACATTTGGTGCAGAGTTGGTGGCCGTCTCCATGCTCCACACCACCACCAGCCCTGGTGCCAGGTGTTCCCGCCTCATTACAGGCCCCTTCCTGGAGTGCGTCTGGGAAGGCTGGGACTGCGTGTACCCACCCTGAGTTTCTAAGGGCAGGTTCTCCTCATGCCCCACCATGGCCCTAGACCTGTCCTAGTCCTGTGGAGCACCCAGCTCCACCTGCCCACTCCCCTAGAAGGTTTTGGGGGGACAGCATGGCAGCCCGCATTTCTTGCATGTACCAGGTGTTTACCTGCACCCCATTTTCCCCAACGCAGCTGTGTGAGGGTGTGGAGGGGTTGGAGGAATTAAAGATAGTAACGTCTGATGGAAAGAGTTGACAGTGGAAGGCAGGTAGGAGCTGGGAAGCCTGAGTCCAGCTTTCTCTAGATGGCCCTGCGTGGGGACAGCCCAGTTCCCAGCCTTGGCCTCTTGCTTGGGCCTGCCCCTTCCAGAATTTTGTCCTCCTGGACGCCCCTGTTTGGATCCTTACTTACATTTCTTGAAACTTCACTTCCTACCCTTAGGAACTGGTTTTGCTCCAAGTTCCATAGATTTTCCTTTATGGATGTCTCTCCCAACATCTGGGATAATCAGTGGGTTTGCAGTATGGCAAGGTGGCTGGAGGACTCCAAGTGTTGCGTTGGGGACAGGGTTTGCAGTATGGCAAGGTGGCTGGAGGACTCCAAGTGTCGCGTTGGGGACAGGGTACACTCACATTCCAGCCACGGATAGTCTTCTGCCTTCTGTTACCCCAAGAATCCAGTGGGTAAATGTTAATTCTCTCTTCTGCTTCCTCTCTCTCTCTCTCTCTTTCTCTCTCTCTCTCTCTCTCACACACACACACACACACACACACACACACAAACACATACAAACATCCCAAGAACAAATATTCATTTTCAGGACAAACACTTTTTAAACTCATAAAGGAGGATAAACATTTAAGTAATTTGCAGGCCCACCTCTGTCCCAGCAGAGTTAACACTTCCAGCTGACGTGAAGAAGTCTTGTTCTCTGTTTGTTCATGGTTAGCCTCTCTGATAACATCACAGCACATCTTTGGGGAAACAGAGCTCCAGATATTTTAGTGGCCACTGTTACAAGCCCACAGGCCACCCACTGAAAATTAGTGCATGGGGCCCCCATAATTACTGTGACAAGAGCCCTCGTCCATGCCAGGCTTCCTCTGGGGTATGAGATAGTAGGTTGGATTCGGTCTCCCAGACACAATGGAAGTGACCCCACTGTGAATAACAACAGGTGTACCCATGAAACGCCTCCTTCTTGCACGAATGCGGATTAGACATAGACATTGCTCAGAGATGGTGGAGCAGTCCCACCTCACAGGGACAGGCCACCATGTGGGGAGTAGAGAGCAGCTGCACTCACTTCCAAGGCCACATCTTTTTTGTCTCATTTGGCTGACAGTCTCATTCGGCCACATCTTTTTTGTCTCATTTTCCTTCAGCTTTCTGCAAAATGTGATTTGTTGTATTAAGTCAACGTGTTCATTTGTTCTGTTGGTGCTGCTGCTGAAGCCACCCTGAGTTGGGGGTCACTGCATGCCATGTCTAAAGGGCAGCCATAATTAGAGAGGATGTTTGCCTCAAAAAGTGTCAAAAGCTATGCACCATTTCTCCAGCTTGAGGCGTCTCTGTAGTCTGAATGGACAGAGCCACGTCATTATTAGCAAAGTGCACTTGGGAAGGATGGGGCTGTGATCCTGGGGCCCTGAGTCAGCAGCCCAGAGCCAGCTGCTAAGTGGCAGAAGCAGAGCCCTAATGAGCAGAAATCAGAAGCCGGGACAGTGGGTTCCTCCACCCAAGGATATGAGTGACAACGGGAAGAGGCCCACTGTGGTATTTCCCACCCTGCTCGAAAAGCCGGTGTTTGCTCATGTATCCATTCTTCCACAGATCCTCACTGAGCAACTCATATTTCCAGATGCTGCTCTATCCCTGGTACCTACATGAATGATCATGGCAGGAAGAACCCTTCTCTCTGTGGAATTTATAGTCTGGACCTGAGAATTTTCAAATAACAAGTAAAATACAGGGTATAAGAGATGGTGAAACCTGTTTCAAAGGGCACTGATATTTTTAAAGGACTTGAGTTAAATTCAGAGCCCTGAATCTTTCTAACTGTGAGAAAGGCCTTTCTTGAGTTGTCTCAGGCCACAGTCATTCTATCCACAAAATGAGCAGTGTAAGGCACAGACGGTGGTGAGTGTTACGGGTACCGTGAAGCGGCAGAGAACTCCAAGTTGCTTCACACACAAGCCTTGCTTTATTTTGAGCCTCTTTTCAAATTTCCACCTTGGTCACCTGGAAGATACAAAGGAATATTTTGAAAATGATTTGAATTTTAACCATAGATCACCTGTGTTTCATGTTTACATTTTGACAACTCTGGTAAAATTTAGTGTGCCCCCAAAGCCTTAACTACGTACACTCAATAAAGAAGATTTCTATATTTATCTTCTATAAAGAAGATGTCTCTGAATTGGAAGAGAGAATAAAATCTGATGGCCAAGTTCTCATTGCTCAGAAGAGGCTTGTGGGAGTGAAGACACAGTGCTGGTTACTTCACGCAGTTTTCGTTTTGTTTTGTTTGTTTCCTTTCAGACTCTGATACCTTCAGAAGCGAATGGTCTGCTCCGCTCCCTCCTGGATGTGGTTTCCAGCCTCAGCTTTGTGCTCGCCAGAGGCCAGCATGTCTTTGAATACCTTCCCGAATTCCTTCAGGCATTTCAAATCACCGCCATACTAGATATGCCTGACTTCCAACTGGTGTGTGTTTGATCTTTGTCACGGGGGAACTTGCTCTTTCTGTGTATTTGTTCCTTTTGGCCATTATTTATCTCCCCACACCTAAAATTTGCATTAGGCAACAAAATGCAGGACTTTTTGTATCTCTGGTGGCAACAGCATGAAGAAGACTAAGTCTTGGTTTCTCCCTAACAACTGGATCCCAGGGACATTGTTGATCCACCAAGGGTGAGACTGGGATAGTTCATGCATTGTGTACAAAGTAAAAAATTACTAACTCAGTTATTAGCACAAATGAGATTTATTTCAAGGGCCTATTTAACTTAATTCAGAAAGCAAATTGCTTCTTAAGACCTTAAAACCTTTACATACATATAAATAATTGGCTTACAAATTATAGATCATTTGCGAATGATCTTACAAATGCGCATACAAACTTGAATTAGGTTACTGGATTGATATTAGTTTTTGCCTGAACTTTCTTTGCCTGGGATGGAACCAGCTGGCCACAGATGAGGAGAGTATGGGATTATCTAGGGTTGGAGGTGCAGGATGACCTGGATAGTAGTCATGTCCTCAGAGTCAGAATGTCAGCAAGCTGATGGACAGTTTAGATAGCTGTCAAATATTCGGGTAACTTGGCAGTATAGACATATATTAAAATTATTGATTGGCCTGAGTTAATGATATTTTATGGATTAATAATTTATTACTAGATAAACAATAAGAACTTGTGTGTGTGACATTTGTCTTTTTACCAGGTGTGCTGATTAGAAAAATCACTACAAAGATTTTTAGAAAAATCTTAGAAAACTCTAATTCAGAATTTTCTTTCTTTTGATGTGTCAAATATCTTGTACATTCAATTGTAGAAGGGTCTCAACTTTCAAAAGTGTGGGAAGGAATTGTTTTGAGTCACTATGAAGTTGCAATTTATTTTTAAATTTTTTTCAGGTAGCACAAAATATCCAGGCCAGACGTTCAGTCTTCCAGTCTTTCCAGCCTGTGCTGAAGATGGTTTGCAAGGACCAAGCATCATTTCTTAGCAATTCTAACATGTTCATCAATTTGCCCAGAGTTAACGAACTCTTGGAAGGGGACAAAGAAAAATTCAACATTCCTGAAGATTCGAGTAAGACAGCAGTAATCTCTCTGTGCCCTACTTGATACCAGATATCCCGTCTGTGTTGTTGGCTGGTACACAGTGGAATAGATTCTTCTGCCTCCGTCTTTTCACTTTTATCCTTCATCTTTAATACGGTCCCCAAATATTCAAATGGCAATTAGCTTCAGAAGGTCCTAGTGCCTTGGAGCACAGGTTAATTCTCCTGCCTTGTCACCAAGGAACTGTGCTGGAAACATCTAAGACCCCTAAAACTCTAGCCCCTTTGGTTTTCTAGGCTAACCAGACTTGGTGAAAGGCACCCTTAGGGTCCTTGCAAAATGGCCACATCATGAAGCAAAGAAAACTATCTGTGGCCTCCTCCAAATTTGCTGTCCATAAAGCTCAGGTGCAAATGAATGTTGATTGATAGGTGATTTTCTGGCCCCATTTTAAGTGAATAATTTTTTTTCTTTTTTTGAGACAATCTTATTTTGTCACCCTTGGTAGAGGGCTGGGGCGACACAGCTCATAGCAACCCCAAACTCTTGGGTTTAAGCCATTCTGTTGCCTCAGCCTCCTAAGTTGCTGGGACTACAGGCACCCGCCACAACCCCTAGCTATTTTTGTTGTAGTTGCCACTGTTGTTTTAGATGACAGGGGGCCGGGTTCAAACCCATCACCCTTGGTATATGGGGCCAGCGCTGCCTAGTGAACAAATTTTTATTAGAAAGTCGGACAAAACACTGGTGAGGGTTTGGGGTTCAGACAGCTCAGCTCCCCCACTGGGGGTTCAGACAGCTCAGCTCCCCCACTGGGGTTTTCTAGGCCTATTATTTTAAGTGTCTGAATCATATTCGTCTCATCTATGATGAGGACACAGTAGAACCCTGCTCAGAGCCCTGTGAGGTGCAGTGCCAGTGCAGCTTAGCACGATGGATTGGATGTGTCTGAGTGTGTTATTCAGTAGTTCTCTATACTGCAAGACGGGTCACCCATCCTTGGTAGCTTAAGACAACATATATTTACCGTGTTATAGTTTCTGTGGGTCAGCATTTAGGGTCCTGGTCCTCTGCTTTGGGTCTTACAAGGCTGTGGTGAAGGTCTGGGCCAAGGCTGGGGTCTCATAGAAGCTGAGGGAATTGTTGGTAGAATTTTTTCCCTTAAAGCTATAGAACTCAGGGGGGCCGTATCTTCAAGGCCAGCAGGAGCATCTCTCTGACTGAGGCTTCCAGTTTTTAAAGAGTTTATCTGATTGCTCAGTCCTTTGATTAACTTCAAGGAAACCAGATAAGGGACCTTATTCACATCTTCAGTCTTCTTTCACCTTGGTTGTAAAACCCCATCATGGGCATTGCATCCTCCACATTCACAGGCATAAACTCCAGGAACCCTTTCAGAATTCTGCCTGCCACACCCACGATACATCATGACACACTTTGTGTCTGGAATGGAACTGAGACAGAGGTGTTGGTGGGACTGGGGAAGGTGCTAGTGTGACTGGGGAGCAGGGGATTCTCCAAGAGTTGGAGGTATGGGGGGCATAGCCGGGTACCACGTCCTGGGGCTACCTGAGAGGCAGCCTGTCACTGGCTGGTGGATAATCAGGACAGCTGTCAAGTATCAGGTAATTTGGTAGTATAAACACACATCGAGATTACTAATATTTAATAATTTTTGTTTCTTTTTCTAGTCCTCATTTTATCTTTTTTTTTTGCTTTTGGTATTCTTGAAGATTATTGATTTGTACATATAATTCAATTATCCATTCATCTATCTGTTCATCCATCTGCCCTTCCGTCCCTCCAGCCATTCAGTTAGCAAGAAGGGACAGTTTTTACTGCTTCTCTCCTAGCTGTCATTTCAAATCGTTGTCATACATTTGACAGATAACATTAGCATCTCATTTTCCCAGTGACGTGATAGAAACTCAGAAAAGATTAAGTGACTTGCCCAAGTTCACATAGCTCACAAGTGGCAGATGTCTGGATTCATGGATTTAAATTTTTAGTTCTGTAAATATGACGATTATATCTTTTTTGCAATAAAAATATCTACTGTCTACATTAAGCTAGCAATTTAAAGAGTTAAGTTCTTAAATTACAGTAAGAGTCACCTCTGTAATTAATGCTTTGAAAATTCATTGTGTAATCATGCTCCTAATTTATATTTTAAATTGTTTCTATCAATTTTATTATCAAATAAAAATAACTTTTTTCTTTCCACATGGAGAATTGGGGAAGGTGATGTTAACAGTTAAAATCATCACAACAGGACACTTCCTACCTTGAGAATTATGCATCGCGGTATTAAAGCTAACAGAGTATTTCCATTTTAAATGTTCTCTTTTTGAGTAAAGAACTAGTTATACCAAAGTAGTCCTCACTCACTTAAAACCTCATATTTGGTCCTAACCATTACAGAAATGGAAGCTCTATCTCATCAGGTACCTGCTGGTTTAGTTAAATAAATCTTTAACTGAAACAAACTAGCATCACAACAATTATGAGAGGTACGGAGAGGAACTGTTTGAGTGAAAATAAAGCAGCTACTTATCACAAGCAGTAGGCCTAAAAGTTATTCCTAGTGAACTCACTGTGATATATAGCTATATCGAAGACAATTTGGTAGTAACTTGTAAAGCTAATTTTATTAAAAAACTTAATTCTGGTCTCAATATTATGACTCTTGACATAATAGAATTTTTTTGATTAAAAATCAGATTTTTTTTTAGCATTTTCATTTTCAAACATCTGTGTTATCATTTAGTCCTCTTACTGACATCTTCGTTTGAACTTCTGAAAATTGAAACAAGGGAAAATATTCTTGGTTTGCTTCCCAAGTTCAGAGTTATGTTAAGAAAAAAATATATTTACGCTACTCACTGAAAACCAGGTATTGTGGGTATGTTTCCTATCAACCTTGGCATTCTGTAATACTTCTTTTATTCTTTTTATGACAGCGCCGTTTTGCTTAAAGCTTTATCAGGAAATTCTACAGTTTCCAAATGGTGCATTGGTGTGGTCCTTTCTGAAGCCCATGTTACATGGAAAAATACTGTACACACCAAATACTCCGGAGATTAACAAGGTCATTCAAAAGGTAAGTTAAAATGAATTGTACTACAGAACATACATGCCTTTTACTAGGAAGATACCTTTTAAAATATTTAGCATAATTATTACATGCCTTGGATTACATGAAAGCGTTCTGTGTTAATTGCAGTTCATTTGGGCATGAGTCATTTTTTTCTCGTTTCTGTTGTTAAATGTGGATTTGCTGAGTCCTTCTTTTAGAGGACATGAAGGAGGCTGGGGGTGTTATTTAGAATAACTAATGCAGTGAACTCACAGAGCTCTGATACTGAAAGTCGAGGGCGATTAGACAGAGAGGAGGCCTGCCTGGAACAGTTCCAGGAAAACTTCAACAGAGACGCATCTGTTTGCTTGGTGCATCTGGCGACTGTGAAAGAGTCAGGCACAGGTATAGACGGATGTGTTAACAGTATTTGCTAAGTGATGCTTCCGAACTGATAGTGAGGGTTAGCTTGACCGTGTGAGAAGCTGGTCAAAGCAAGGGGCCAAAGCAGAGATTCCACAGGAGGAGCTGAGCCCTGCTGTGGCCCGTCTGTCTCCCTTCCCTCTACTGCTTCCTCCGCCTGTCTGTGTTCTGCAGGGTTTACTAGCAGGATTAAGTGATTGAGTTGTATCTTCTTTTCTTGACTGCTGGTGGCTTGTGAGCCTGGAAGTACCTTGAACGGGGACATTTTGTTGTTGTTGTTGTTGCAGTTGTTGTTGTTTAGCTGGGTGGACAGGGTTCAAACCTGCCAACCTCTGTGTATGTGGCTGGTGCCATAACCACTATGCTATGGCACCAAGCATAGAACGGGGACATTTTGCCAAGGACATGGGAATAAGTTGGTCTTTCTGTCCAACATGGTGAGAAGGTACCTGCTCTACCAATGACAAACTCTCAAGCCTCCAACAGTATTGACAACTTAAAATTTAACAGGAGCGTGTGATCAGATGGCAGTTAAGTCCTGTTGGATTGGATTTGCTTTCACGAGTTCTGAGCTCCTGCCCGGGCACTTGCTGGGTGGGGTCACAGCAGCAGTTTACTGTTAGCTCAGGGGTCACTTCTTACTTTGGCTTAGTCTGAGTGGTATTTATAACTTTCTTTTTTTTCTTTTATTATTACTTTTTTTTTTTTTTTTTTGAGACAGAGTCTCAGTCTGCCACCCTGGGCTTGAATTAAGTGCAGTGGAATCACCATAGCTCACAGCAACCTCAAACTCTTGGGCTCAAGTGATCCCCCTGCTTCAGCTTCCCAAGTAGCTGGGACTACAGGCACCTGCCACACCTGGCTAGTTTTTCTATTTTGGTAGAGATGGGTATTACTCTTGCTCAGGCTGGTCTCCATCTCCTGATCTCAAGCAATCCACCTGCCTCAGCCTCCCAGAGTGCTGAGATTATAGATGTGAGCCATCATGCCAGGCTGGTGTTTATAACTTTTAAATCTTGAGAGTGTCCTTTGGAGGCATATTTGCTAAAAGTCTGGACTCTCATGATGGAATGGCACAAATCCATACTCAGTGTCAGCCTTTCATCCAGGTGGGGACTCCAGCCCCACAGCCACCATCCCAGGCCTGGAGCCTCACTACTGCTGGGCCAATCTCCCTAGCATGTTAGGCTTTTTGGGGTCTTGGCTATTTTAGGAATTTCAGAGGAAATAAAGTTATATCACAGCTTAATTTTAGATTCAAATTTTAAAAATAGGCCATGAATTTTTTTCTTATGATTTTATGGTAGATTATTATATGTTAATCTTGTTAATAACATATATTACTATAGTATTATATACTGTGCTATGTTCTGCAGTATAATCTAAATTAGTATGATGAGTTCTGCTCTTGAAGAGCGCACCCTCCAGTGAAGAAAAGAAGACCAACAGCTGAAGCAGTAATTCAGATATAATATGACAGAAAAGACGTTGTGTGCAGCCGGGACACAGGCTGGGGGCAGCTGCTCTCCCTGGAGAGGAGAGGGGTGCAGGCCCCTGCCTGGACAGAGGGGAGGGGAAGGGACAGGCCTGAACGTGTGTTGAGAATGATGAAAATTTTGGAAGAATCACCAAAGATTTCGCTGGTTCTTGCTTGACCCCTTCTTGGATTTTACAAGCAGTAATAAGAGCTGATCTTTTTCACTTAGCTGGCTGATAACTTTGCATGCAGGTGTTCTGGTTTTGTGCTTATCTTTATGGCATTGTACCTGGGATGGATTATTCTAGCAGGCAGCCATGGGGACTATTTAGTTTTATGGAAATTGGTTCCAGTCATTAGATGCCCCGTCGGACATCCCACGCAGCTGGGACACGCCCGCAACATCATCTACAATGTCAGAGTGACCTGTGCTATAAATTATTTATACTTGGTCTTTCCGTTTCTTCCTGTTAGGTGGAACCATAAGAAGTTGCTATTTTTGGAGGAAAACAAATCTATAAAAATTGGTTATTTCACATTGTTCAACTTTAATAGTAAGGGCAGTGTTGGAAGCACAGAGTCTGGCAGGAGAAGCATGTGGGTGTCAGAGGCTGGGCTTCCTCTCCCAACTCTCATAGGCTTATTGCTTTCCCTTTGAAAGACTCTTTTCCTTCATCTGTGAAATGAAAGGCTTAAGATAGAGCTGTGATTTTCAGTCATTTGGGAGACACTCTGCATAAAGGATACATTAGAATCACTGGGCCTCTCCCTAAGCCCGCTCCCGATCTGGCCTCTGGGTTCCCCTGGCTGGGGGATGTGCCCCCACACTGTCCCTGAGCACTTTCAAGACCTAGAAAAAAAAAAGATGGCTAAAATTTCTACAGTGTTAAAAGACAAACTCAGGTACATTAACATTTTAATGAACTTTATTTGCATATTCAGCTGTACAAGAAATAAGCAGCCCCAGAGCTCAAGCAGTCAGAGGCTCCCCTGTGTGATGGGGAGGGGAGGGCCGAGAGAGAGGAACTTTTATAAAATGTTTGTGGAAGCAAGATGAAGAAAATATGATTGAGTGCTCAAGTGGAACGTCCTGATGTAGAGGTTATTGGGAGGTTTCTTATTAGTTAAGCTGAAGTGTTGTTTTACCATTTGCATGGAATTGGCTTTGGTTTGCGTACTGATGAACCCCAGTGAACTGTGGCTGTCTCAGCTCAGTGACTTCCCAATGAATTATTTTAACAGGAGTAACTTAGTTAATGCTCTGAGGGTGTCAGACTCACCATTAGTGAAAGAATTGATGTATGTCCACGTTATTAGTGCAGAGACTGTAAGATGTCAGTCTGCTCTCGTTATGGAATGCGTCAGAATTGGGTTTGGTTTTGGGCCCAGGTTGAAGTAATATTGTACTTCAGGTAGACCCAGTGTGAGCTTGGAGAGAAATTGTAAGGGCAAAAATAAATAACAGAATTGGATTACGTTCCCCCAAATAAGCAGCAGGCCAGAAACAATGCTGCAAGCAGGACCACCAGCAGGGTCTGGTCTGTACTGGCAGGGTCTGGTCTCCACCAGCAGGGTCCGGTCTGTACCAGCAGCATCTGGTCTGTACCGGCAGTGTCTAGTATGCACCAGCAGAGTCTGGTCTCTACCAGCAGGGTCTGGTCTCTACCAGCAGGGTCTGGTCTGTACCAGCAGGGTCTGGTCTCCACCAGCAGGGTCCGGTCTGTACCAGCAGTGTCTGGTCTGTACCGGCAGTGTCTAGTATGCACCAGCAGGGTCCGGTCTCTACCAGCAGGGTCTGGTCTCTACCAGCAGTGTCCAGTCTCCACCAGCAGGGTCTGGTCTGCACCAGCAGGGTCCAGTCTCCACCAACAGGGTCTGGTCTCCACCAGCAGGGTCCGGTCTGCACCAGCAGGGTCTG